CCTCTCTGTGCACCCGGGCCGGGCCATTCCTCCCGGGTGGGCAGCAGGTGTGTTCTGCCTCGGCATTTCTAGAAAGAGACGAAGAAGTTCTCCTGTCTGTATTCGGCCATGAAAACCAGAAAATCTGTTGTCGAAACAGTTGTGCGATTTAATAACTTCTTTACAAACTTGCCCGCAAAAATCACTTTTTATATTACGTAAACCACCTGTGCGTGTAAGACGGAGCAGCGGTTTTCTTGTGCCCTGCGGTACCCAGCAGGAAATGTCAGTGCGGGGAGGTGGAAGTGCCGCTCGTGGAGCTGCGGGGCTGATGCCCCGAGCGATTCTAGCTGGGACCACGAACCGCGCCAGGAGGGTTTACCTTCAGACCCTTCACTCTCAGCCGGGGGAACGGGCACAGGGGGACATTTGAGAGCTCAAGAGTCGAGCCTGCTGCCTTGTACATTTTTTTAAAGCCCTCCATCATGTGTGCACTTTGCTTGAATGATTATTTTAAAGCACATGTCCTATTTTTGCCAATTGACAGCTGTTTCCATAGAAACTAGACAAGAAATAGTCATTTTCAGCAAGAGTTGTTAAAACTGTCTTCTAGGCTTCAGCCGCGAGTCCCACTGAGTGCCGTACTTGCTCATTCTGAGGAAGCACTTCAAGAATTAAGGGTCTGAAATGTTCACAGAGGCCGACAATCCAGATTGTTTCATTTTCTCACATCGTTAATTTAGTAATCCTCGAAGTCTGCCAGCGATGTTTGTTGACCTACGATAGTTCTGTGAAGAGGAGGTGTCAGCCCTAATTCTTTCTTAGGTGCTGTGTAGTCTAGTGATTGGCTCTTTGAAAATATAGGGATAGACTTCTTCCCCCGTTTTTTACCCTGTCTGGAGGATAAACCAGGCCTTACAAAATATCAGGTACTGTTTTTAGTCTAAGTGACATTTGATTGTCAGTGATATAACTGATAATTTTTATTATATTCAGACAATAGGGCTTTTGCTTTTCTTTCAGTAAAATAAAAGTTTCCACGTGAGAGATGAGCAGGAGCTTGCTTGTTGTGAGAGCAGAGCTAAGCAATGTGAACAGATGTGCATGGGTGTAGATCTGAGAGCTTTCTCTTCTGAGGGGTTATATGTCCACAGAGGTCCTGGAGCTTAGCAATGGGTGAAGGAGACTTGGGAATGGTACCTGAGAAGTAGTGGGAAGCAGCATTATGGAGTGTGTTGAAGCCAATAGAAAATCAATGGAAATTATAAAAATAGTTAACTTATTTGGGGTTTACAGAAGTAATACACCTTGTAAAAAATTTGCACAGATGGAAATACTAAATCCTTAACTACCATCCTGCTATCCCAAGTAATCATTACAAATAAGCTATGTAGCTTTTTTTTTTTTTTTTGGTACCGGGGATCAAACTCCCGATGGACCAAGGGCTTGTGAGGCAGGTGGTGGAACCACTGAGCTAAATCCCCGGCCCTAAGCTATGTAGCTTTCTTAAGATGTATTTATTTTTGTACACATTGACATATTTTTGTCATTACTATTTTTACAAATTGGGCAGAGATTTTTGTCTGTTTTGTTCTCTACAGTAATCCTGCCACCCAGAATATTGTCTGACATGTAATAGGCACTAATTAATTATTGAAATGACAGTATAGTATTTAGCAGAGTGGAGTGAGTGAATCAATGAAGAATATAATTCAGAGGTCAGAAACTGAATGAGGTAAGTGAATGTTTGGTCAAGGTGATCAGATATTTTTAAAGTTAGTTGCCACCATTTAGAAATTGATGAATCTCACATGGAATCTGAATTCTGGCTTTCCTTGGGAGTTTTTAAGACATTTGATAATGTGAAGCTTGTGTTCTACTGCACTTGCTGCACCTCCTCTAGAGGAGTAGCAATCTGCATTCACATCAGCATGCTTTAACTGATACTCTGCTGCTTGTACCCTCAAACTTACACTGCCCAGTACAATAGCCACCGTCTTGGATAGCAGGGAGACAGATCTCTGTCGTTGAACCGAGTTTCATCATGTAGTGCTGCTTTAGACATATAAGTTTGCCTCTCTTGCAGAACAGAGGTTTTGCAAGTAGCGTGTATTTTAATTATTTTTAAATTTGCATGTCTGTTGTGACACAGATCTCCATCTTTGAAATGACAGTATAGTATTTAGCAGTCTAGGACTGGCTTTGTGTGAGTTTGCTAGATTCTGTTGTCTGGTTTGCATTTTAGAGAGATTGCTTTAGGTCTAGTTTGTGGGATGAGCTGCAGAGGAAGGAGTTGGTAGCGAATGAAGCAGAGAAGTTGACAGTTCATAGTAATCAACACCCTAGAGTTGCAGAGCCCAGGAATAGCTGGATTGAGATCTTGAGGAGGTGGAATTGACAGGACTGATTTAATGTGGGCTTAGATCTTTTGTATGTTATAGTCATTAGAGATAATACAGTATTTCCTGGTACTGATTCAGTGTTCAAAAGTGGGAAATTTGTAAAGTATAGAAAGGACCCTTGGGTAGTTCCAATAAAAGCATGTATGATATTAAAATGTTGTCAATTTGTTTTATAAGCTAATGTGTAAATGTTATATACCATATAAATGTCTGAGGGACCAGGAAGGTCTTATTTATTCATTAGCATCTCCTTTTCTCCCCAGTCCCTGTATGTCTCCTTCTCCCTGGTTCCCTACCTCCTCTTTCTTGTCTTCCTCTTCCTCCTCCCTCTTCATAGTCCCTCACTTGTCTCCTTTCCACACATACATTCCCATTTTTTTTTTGTGCACACTAACTTCTTTTTGCAAAGCTTTGTGTTTGATTCTTGCCTTGTTTTACCATAGCACCAATTGTCACTCCTATTTTTACATGCCCTTGTATTCCTATGTTGGATATTGTCTTACATAAAATATTTTCTTTGTCAGATACTAATTGGTAGGTCTATGGCTAGTGGCAGGGGTTATTGGGACAAGCATGAACCTTTGGACCCATCTAAGTTGAGGCTGTGATTGAGCAAATATCTAAGTTTATCCTCCATAATAAGTCTTCAGATTTGACATAAAGGAAAGAAAACAGATTCGTGTAGTTTTTGGAGTTTGATTTCTAGTAGAAAAGCTAAGATATACTTTCCCATTCAAAACAGTTAATTTTTTTTTTGTTTTTCTACATCTACCCAAATGGCATAAAATATAATAGTTGCCTTTCTTATCTAATCTGCTATATTGACATCCCTTCCCCATTTTATTCGTACAATACGTGGCACTTAATGAGGAGCTGTATTTTATTTTCCCCTAATAGTCCTAGGTTCATTTTTGCCTTCTCAACTAGAGAATAATCTCTGTGATCACGAGGTCTGTATTTTATGTGGCTTCTATAACTCCTATGCCATCTAGCCAAAGAAAAACCTTTCTAGCTATTCAAAAACATGAGGATGATTCCATAAAATTAGAATGGAACTGAAGGAATCTTGTCATCTAATGACATGGTATCTGTTGTAATGTTTGGTGAATAAATATTTTCCACAGATATTTATGTTTTATTTTTGTGTTTCAGATAATCAAGCAAAAGAAAGATGAGCTTCATTTATGGACTGCAGTCTACTAGAAACTCTTTTCTCTTCCGGTTTAATCTACTGGGCAGCTGGAGAAAGCGGAACTCACTGGCAGTAACTTCAGCAGGCTGCCATCAGTTTCAAAATTTCTATGTAGTAAATAAATACCAGGGGCTTACATCATTCACTCAGTGTGACAGGTTGACATTTCTGCATGGAAACTTCCATTTTAACAGGACTTTGAATAACAGAAGACCAGGATGCCTCTCAAGTGCCAAAAGTAGGGGCATTTGGGTGATTACCCACAAATGTACCTCCTTTTCAAGATGGGTACTGACCAGAGAAAGTGCAGTTGCTCCTGCCCTTGCAGCTTGGTGTCCTGAGACCTATTCTCCCGCAAGATCTGCCAGGAATTTCCATACTTCTCCACGGGTTCAAGCTGCTCCCGTTCCTCTCCTGTTGGTCCTTCTAAAGCCACTGCAGAAACTACTTGCAATCATCGTGGGCAGGTAAAATACTTTTTTGAAAAGTATTTTTATTGTATTGACTTTTATTTTTGTATTCACATTTTGTACCAACTTGTACTAATTCTTAAAAATTAAACTTTGGTATTTACAAATGTGTACTTTTAAAGAAGCCATGTTAGTTGTCCTCGTATTTAGCTTAAAATTAAATTCTAAACAGTAGGTTCTACCCAATTTTATATGTGATTTAATAATGTTGAAATAATTTTCTGCATATTTATGGTATAGAAAGGTGATCTTTAAACTACATATTGATATTTTAAAAGATTTTATGTTTGTAATTATAAGAAAAATCAAGTACTTGTAATAACTCATGTATAGGAATAGTACTTATAAACATTGCCTTTTTATTTTGTGGTATTTGAGACAAAGAATCATGAAACTGGGGAAACTTACTTAAGTAAGAGCTCATGCCTAGCCAAGTTAACTCTTAAACCATTAATATTTATTTTTTCTATTCTGATTCCAGAAATATTTGTTATTTTATCTTGGTAGGTTTTAAAAAAAAAATACTATTTTTATGTTAAATACCAGTACTTCTTTTTTTAACCCTGCTTCTCATTTCATGAAGAGTGAAGAAAGCTATCTCTTCTTAAAGATTTAAAAAAAAATTTTTTTTTGAGACAGGGTTTTGCTGTGTAGTCCAGGCTGGTCTTCAACTCACTGTGTAGTCAGGCTAGCCTCAAACTCATGACAGTCCTCCTGCCTCAGCCTCCTGAGTGCTGGGATTACAGGTAGGCACCACTCCACCCAGCATCTGTTCATGAAGATTTAAGTTTGATAACTATGCAGTTCCTTCTTGTCCTTTCTTTCCTACTAATAACCCATTTTACTTTTAATCACAACTCCAGACCATCTCGTCTGTAGCTTGGTGTGTTTACTTCTGGGAATGATAGCTTTCTGATTTCTAGTGTATTTTTGTCCTTTCCAACTCTTTAGTTTTAATTTTGTTTCTGTTACTGCTGTAAGCCACCTAAAATTTCCTTTTAGAATACATTCTGCATGCATTGTAAATAATAATGTCACAAAAAGTTTTAAATAGGAAATGAATATGCTTCACGGTTTGATTTATGTCCCTATGGTTCAAACACTGTTCAAAGGCATTTCATATCTGTCGCCATGATAAAATGCCTGAAAATCCCCTTAGGAGGTGGAAGGGTTTCTTTCAGCTCATGGTTCCATTATGTGGTTGCTGGCCCTGGTGCTTTGGGTCTGTGGTGGCACCTTACACCATGGGGATGGGGGATACAGCAGAGGAGGCCTGCTCCCCTCATGGTGGCCAGCCAGGAAGTAAAAAAAAAACAAGAAGGGGCTGGGGTCCCAGTGTCCCCTCAAGGGCACATTCTCTGTGGCCCAATTTCCTTCCACTAGGCCCTACCTCCTAACGGCTTTGCCACCTCAAGTTGCACCAGAGGCTGACAACCATGCTTTAATAAATGGCCTGAGGGGGACACTTTCAGATCACAGCAGTCAGTCAGCACACGGTGTTAACGTAAAGAAGTTGTTTTGTAAAATGAATTTTTGTCAAGAGAATGATGTATATATGTTAAATTTTCATTATGATTTTATGGATGAACTCACAAGGAAGAATTTTTGCCTCCCCCCGCCGCCCCTTTTTTTTGATACCGGGGGATTGAACTCGGGACCTTGCGCTTGCAAGGCAGGCAGCAGAACTACTGAGCTAAATTCCTGGCCCTGTCCCATTATTGAAAACATTGCTTGCTGTCAAAATGGTTTTGAACTCTGCTGAGTACTTAGAGAGTATCAAGTATAGACACTGGACCTTCTCAGACATTGTCTATAGATAAGAAAATCTCCCTTTTCCTTATTTACAGTGCTGCTTATCATATTACCTCCCCTTTCTCATGTCCTAGAAAGACAGTGGTGTCTGCTTCTGAGAAACATTTATTTCCAAAATTCATGCTGAGGTAGTTTCCCTTGTACCTTGTTGAAGCACTGGCAGATTGTGCCAAAAGTCTGAGGAGCAGTTGGAAGAATAGTGGTTAAGGGTCTAGATCTATTGTGCAGTAGCCCTCAGATGTTTACTGGGTATTTATCCCTATGACGTAGCTAAGTGGTCAGACTCAGCAACATCCTGTCTTCATTCTCTCTCATTACCTCTTTGACACGGGGCAAGGTGCTTAATTTCTCTATGTCTCATTTTGTGTAACTCAGCTTTAGGAAGATTAAATGAGATGACATATGTATAATGAGAAGAGTCCTTTGCATATGGTAAATAGTTAATAAGTATTAATTAGTGGTAATTTAAAAATAGCTACTCATTTAGTGTTTGTCCTTAAAATAGGTAAAGAAGAAGTTCATGAGCTTTAGAATTTTTAACTGTGGCTCTATATAGTTGCTTCTCTTTCACCATTTAGCTAAGAATTTTATAAATTAAAAAGTCATCTCCACAGAGACATGTATCATAAAGATTTAAGTGTTTGATGCTGTAAAACTCTACCGTGTGCATTTGTGTTTCGGTGATACGTACTCCTATAATTACTAGCACTTTTCATTTCTCTCTTTTGCTCTAGGGGCATAAGGAAATGGTGGCAAGCCCTTCCTCCTAACAAAAAGGAACTATTTAGAGAGAGTGTGAGGAGGAATAAATGGAAGCTGTTTCTTGGTTTGAGTACCTGTGGACTGTTATTTGTAGTGTTTTATTTTACTCACCTGGAAGTGAGCCCAATCACAGGAAGGAAAAAGCTACTATTGCTGGGGAAGGAGCATTTCAGAGTTCTCTCAGAACTGGAATATAAAGCAGTAAGTAGTAAGAGTTGTTAAATTTCTTAAGGAAAGCAGAAAAGTTTCTTAAATATGAAAGATGAACTACTTTTAAATTTTAGACTTTGAATGAAATTAACATTTTTTCCCAGAAGGCCTTAGATCTTTCACACTTAATATTCCTGCTGTCTTCATTGCTTTCTTCCCATTTGGCCTGCTGTCACCTGCCTAGCATGTCGTGTTCACTGTCACTTTCTCAGGGAAGCCTTCCTTGATGATTCATTGTAGCTTAGGCAGGGTCCTAGACCAGGCACTCAAGGGTATTTTTTGTGGGTTTTTTTTTTTTTCTTGTTTTTTTGTTTGGTGGAGAAGATACAGTATAATTGGTCCAGCATCCAGTTCTTTGGAGATGAGCTGATGAGCTGCAGTACTATCGATGACACAAAGACAAACCAGATATTGATATACAAAAAAAACCAACCTAGTTAATAGCAACAACTATGCCACCCTGGCAATAACAAGAAGATCAGCAACAATAATAGAATCTAAGACAACCTAGATATAAATACATCATAAAAAAAAAGCTACCCTTGTACCATCCTTAACCATAGGAAAAAATATATTTATAATATAGATACAAAGACAAACCAAATATTGACATACAATATATATCTACTAAATGCAATTATTAGAGCCACCATTAGCAATAGAAAAGAATTCATCAGTAATAGCATAGAGTTAACTAAATTTGTAAAGACTATTTATTAGTAATACTAGTAAAGGTGGAGAGAGTGAGGAACAGGTGACTGAAAGAAAGAAAATTTGAAAAATAGTGAAAAGGAAGAGGAAACAGAAAAGTGAGATAAAGGATCCTATTAAAGAGTAAAAAACATTAAACTGGGTAAAAGTGACAGATAAAAACTACTAAGAAAAAAAAAAGAAAAGAAAACTGAGAGAAAATAAAGAATAAAAAAGATTGGGCCCAGGATTTAGCTCAGTGGTTCCGCAGCCTGCCTGAAAAGCTCAAGGACCCGAGTTCGATCCTCAGTGGTACCAAAAAAAAGATAGACTGACAAGAAAAAACTCCAAAGCTCCCAAAACACCAGTGAAGGAACAGAGAGAGAGAGAGAGACAGACAGACAGAGGACCCCACACAATTTCCTTAATATTTTTGAATAAGTGGCTCTCCTGCAAGATCTGCAGTATTAGAATCTATCAGCTATGAGGGAGAAATCACAAGTCACTTCTATCACCTGTTGTTTCCACACTCTTGGTTTTGTGTATGTGCTGAGTCCCACCCCGCCTTTCTTGCTGGTTGTGGTGGGTCAGTGGTGTTCACTCTAGGGCTTTATAGTCATTCTATCTGTTGCCAGTTTCCATGTCTAGAGGGTATCCTTTGTCATACTGAACTGTGATGGGCTGCATACTTGGTGCTAGTGGGGTTAGGTCTCCTTTTTTTCTCTCTCTGTACTGTGCTTTTCCTTTGAATTGCTTATCTGAAGGTAACTTAACCTATTTACTTTGGCAATTTATTGTATTTTCTGAATACAAAATAAAGTTAGAATTCAGAAATCTTAACCCTTGGAAAGTATAACTCAGGGAGTTACACATTTTGAACTCTGGTAAATTCTTTGAGAATAGAGAATGTCATTCTGTCTCCAGTGCACAGCATACCCCTAGTATGTGCTTAGTTTTTTTTCCCCCCTAAATTGTCATTTGTAAGCTTAGCTTGACAGCTTCAACATGGTTAGGTTTTGTATCTTTTTATTCCAAATGAGCTTCAGAGTTTAATCAAAGGAAAATTATCATTAAAAGGAGAAATGGCACTGGCTTTTCACTATAAAATTGTTCTTAAGCTAAGACCAGTCTCTTGTAGTAGAGTATATAGAGGGATTTGAAATGTTTTCTAGAATTTAGTCTAGTAGGTGGCAAGTTTAAGCAAAGTGTTCTGGAAAGATTGAGACAAACCTTACATTAAATTAATGCATTTTCTAGCACTTTTATTGTTAAAAATTTTTAAAAAATATATTTATATACATATTTATACATATGTGTATATATAGAAATAGACATATATATGTTCTTTAATATTTAGTCTACAAATGAAATGCCTACTTGATATTGAAAATTCAAGCACATTATAGACATACTATAAAGAGCTATGATTATACATAATCTTAACTATTCAGGAAGGTTAGTGAATAATGGATTTTTTTGCTTCAGGCAGTTTACATTGATGAATAATGCCTTAAAATGCTAATTGATGTAAAAAGTATTTTAAATTCATATCTGTAAAATTATGTATTTTTATAGTATCTCAAAGGTTACCAACTTGTTGATTGCTGTGTGAAAGAAATTGTATATTTTATAGATACTAAAGTAATATTTTCAGAATATTTTTAATTCTCTCCATGTACTTGAAAGGATCTCATGAGTATAGCTTCAGAAAAGTGTCTTTGTATATAATGTGGCCATGGCTAGTCTTAACAGCATCATTTAGAGAAATGATAGGCCCTTTAGTTCTGAGATTTCAGTAATTTGCATTTAGTCTGTGTGAGTAAAACACTTTAAAATTAATGAAATGACTTTTTGGGTCTAAGTCTAACCTTCAAATTAAGTTTAGGGTGTTTTTCTATTTAATGTGTCATAAAAGTAATTTCCTTTTGTATCTTGATTTTTTTTTGTGAAATCTTTGTTCTTAGGCAGTGTTTTCCTGAAATACTTAAGGAAGTAGAAATAATATTTAAGCATTTTACATGTGGACAGGTTAAAAGGATGAAATTTTAATTTCAATACATTTATATGAAAAATCTTAGTATTAGAATATATTCCTTTGTGAAAAACCACATTGCCCTTGCATGAATAATTCACATTTCAGAAATTTGAGCATTTAATGTATTCAAATTTTTGCATAGTTAAACATTGAAATGTTTAACACTAAGCAGGCATATAGCTGTCCATGAAGCAATATAAACATTTTATAGAGCTAAAACTCTTAAAATGAAGAATACTTTGCTTTAATCTTTCAGTGGATGGAAGAATTTAAGAATGACATGCTAACTGAGAAAGACCCTCGATACCTGACTGTTAAAGAAGTGGTCTGTCATCTCGTTGAATGCAATAAGGATATCCCAGAAATCTCTGAGATCAATTGGGTTATTCATGTGGTTGATTCCCCGACTATTATAAATGCCTTTGTGCTTCCTGTGAGTGTTCTCAAGCACATTTTTATTGCTGAATTTAATGTCCTTATTTTTTATGGTGTTCTAATTGTTTACCTTATTTTCTTTATGGTACAGAATGGACAAGTGTTTGTTTTCACGGGGCTTTTAAATAGTGTAACTGATATTCATCAGCTTTCCTTCCTTCTGGGCCATGAAATAGCACATGCTATACTTGGGCATGCTGTAAGTACCTAAAATGAACGCTCAGTTGTTGAAATATTGCTTTGAAGTTAGCAAGCTATGTTGTTTAAAGGACTGGGTCTTCAGTTTACTTTCTTTTTTAATGATGAAATTTAATTTTTAGTTACTTGCTTTATTCTAGTACCTGAAAAAGTATATTGGCTAATTTTGAGAAGTTTTATGACCTTTAACATTTGATACTCAATAATTAGTCTTTTAAAATACCATTTTATCACTTGTCTCTTTTGCTAAAAAGTAATTATTTTCAACCTCTAATTATTTCAAATTAGATTTTAACTTTCCATAATTATTAACATACTTGTAATCTAGTCAGCAAAATTAATTGTAGGAAAGTGATGTTACTATTTGAGTAAATCAGTTTTCTTTCTTTTTATTCATTCTCAGAGGATAGCTTAGAGCATCTCTGAAAATATCTAGAATGACATGCCATATATAATTAATGCAGAGTAATAATGGTACCTTGTCATCTTTCAGTTTACTGAGTCTTTTAATATGTATCTTCTCATTCATAACTTTAATATTTCATGAAGTATGTATTTATTATCCCTGTTTTACATATGAGGAAACTAATACTTAAAAGACTCCAAATAACACAACTGATCTGACAAAGTGACTAACTGGGGACTTTACTCCAAGTCTTCTGCATGCAAGTCCAGCATCTTCCTTTTACGCAGTTACCTGGTTGTTGCTGGTACTCTTTATAGAATTTCGAGTGATGTATGCTCCTGTAATTATACATCTCTTTGGCTTGGCGGAGATCAGGAAAACATATTTATTTTACTCATTTAAAATTTTTTATTCATTAAAAAATATAAATGACTATTGTCCAAAATAAAGAAAAATTTATTTTCTTTAATTAGAAACATGAAACATGAAATTTTCTTTAATTGAAACATGAATTGTGAAATGCAAGTAATATTAACATCAAATGGAAATGATAATGTTTATAATCCTTCTAAAAGTCACCTCTATTTCTGCCTAATCTTAGAAGAGAGGTGTGTTAAAGAAAGTTGCATTTTTCTGAAGTACAGATGATAATTATTTTTCTTAGTTATAAGAACCTTTGAAAAATATTTTTGTTAAATATATACAAGAACAAATCTAAGCAATCAATAGTGTCATTTTATGCTCGTATCTTTCAAGTAATAGTGTCAAACCTGCAAAAGCAAATCGGTTTTTTTCTCTTCAGAATTTAAAAGTTGTTACTGTTCAGAACATTTGTTTTCTGGGATGCAGCTCAATGCTTTATTTTCATTGTATTGTTGTCATCTCTATCAGTGCAAGAACAATAATTAGATGAGACATAAAATGCAAATAGCAGCCTTGATAGAAAATAGTTATTAATATTTCTTTGCCAGAGGTCTTTATTATCAACACAGTATTTTTTCTTTTGGACGTCTCAATTTAGAGTCAATCTAACCTTTTATTTTTTCATTCTACACAGATTTTTTTAAAGTTCTGGTTTTCTAAGACTGCATAGTAGCAACTATAGTCTTTAATAATAGCAAGGACTTTTTGTTCTATAATGACTTTCTCATTTGAGTTTTACTCTTTTGTGTTAAAATAATTCCATAATTTTTCTGCACAACATACAGTTCTTATGAAGCAAAGTATGTTTTTGTGAGGACAGGTTATATTGTTAAAGGACGTAGTCTAAACCATTGGCTTTAGTTTCCAGCCATGTTTCATATATTCAGGTAATGACTGCTATATTGTTAGCATCACCATTACATTAGCATTTACTAATAAACTTTAACAGTGAACAATGAAAAATGCAATGTATTAAACTTGAATTAGACATTACAACTCAAAACAACTATGTTAGAGCTAGACATGGTAGTGATGCTGTAATCCCAGCATTTGGGAGGTTGGTGGAGAAGGATCACAAGTTTGAAGCCAGGCTGGGCATCATAGTGAGTTTGAGGTCAGCCTGTATTATATAGTGAGACCTTGTCTCAAAAAACCAAAAAATAAATAAGTAAAAAGTAGAAAGGTATTTTATATAAAACCTGTTTTGGTTATTGCCATAAATAAATACAAAAACTCATAGAACTCTCAATTCTCTGGTAAGAACTACTGAACTTCTAAAATTACTAACTTGTTTAAATAAATCATACTTTCATATATTAGGTCATAAAGATCAAAAAGGCTCTTATTTAAAATAAGTTTTCAATCTTTCTGGATTGTTCTTTAAGAGTAGTGTATAGTCTTTATCAAAAATATAAATACAATAAACAGGCTTATTTGATATTTAGAAAAGATACAGAGAGCAGAAACTAAAACTGCTTCATTTTGATTCTTGGTCCTTTCACTAACAGCTATGTGAATTTGAGCTGTTCTTTTTAACCTCTTTCCATGTAAGTTTATCTATAGAATAGAAATAATTGTACCTAGTTCACACAATGTGCTTGTTAATATAAGAAATTGCAAGTGAATGAAATTGTCATTGTTTCTGACTGATAATGACATTGTATATGTTAGTTACATGCGTGAATGACTAAGATAAACAAGGGAAAACAGAACAGATAAGTACATTGAAGGAAAAACTATGGAATCATAATTGCTGAAGGACAGTTAGACACATGCAGTTAATTACTGAATGTGATTACTCATGATAACTAGAATATATAAGCATATATTGTCTCAGTTTATTAAAATTGACTGTAATTTTTATTATTTTTATTATTCTCAGGCAGAAAAGGCTAGCGTGGCTCATTTATTGGATTTCCTAGGTATGATTTTTCTCACAATGATTTGGGCCGTTTGTCCACGAGATAGTTTGGCAGTTTTGGGCCAGTGGGTACAGTCTAAATTGCAAGAGGTAAGTCTGAGGTAATAACTTGAATTTATAATAATCTGTTTTGAGGATTTTATGCTATTACTGTAAAACAACAAATACCAAGAATATTTTCACTTTTTATCAGAAAAGTAAATGTACCGAGTTTTAGTGTCTTATAAATTCTCATCTTTAGAGGATATTCTTATATATGAACATTTAAGTTAAGGAATACTACATCTCTCATATAATGCCCATTAATGAGTTAGAAGGGTGTGGCATATTTTGCCTAATATTTTTGTTAGTAGTACTGGGGAATTAAGCCAGGGAACGCTGAACTATATCCCCAGCCACCTTTTAAATTTTATTTTGAGATAGAGTCTTGCTGAGTTGCCCAGGATGGCCTCAAACTTGTGGTCTTCTCCCTCAAGCCCCTGTGTGTCTGGGATCACAGGTTTGTCCCTCGATACCTGGTTGTATTATTTTTTTCATGGTTCCTACAGAGAGAAAACCCAATCACTGACCCTTCTCTTCCTAGTGTGGCTTTGGTGTGCTGACTCCCCCATCCCAGGCATTTGCATTTGGGTGGGGAACTTTTTAAAGAAGCTTCTGAATCCAAACTGTAGTACTCATGGGATTGGCTGAAGGTGCTTTACCATCCTCCTGTCCTGCTGACTCCCAGTTAAACTAACATTGGTTAGAAAATGTTGAAAGGACAGTCTTACTAAGGATTTGTTAACTTTTGTTCTTAGTGTATGTGTATAATGATAATCCTCCCAAACATAGTTCATTTTATTCGGAACACTGTATCACTGAGAGTATTTCTTGAGATCTTTGTAACTGTTTTGTCAACCATGATTAATTATTTAATTTTACATCTTCAGATACTCCTCTTGTCCTGGGATGTTTGGTTATTTAGGAGCAGTCTGTTGTTTGTTTAATGATTTGTGGAGCACCCATCAGAGTGCCATCTGTGGGCTGTTCAGATCTAATTCTGAGACAAATTGCTTTTGAGATTAGGTAACTCTTACCCAGCATTGCCATATTCATTGACTTCATTTATATGAAAATAAAAGTTCTCAAAGATAGAAAGACTGGTTACTGCTCTAGTTGATAGGACCTCAAGGTTTGAACATTATTTCTGTCACTAGTCTACTGGGATGCTAAAGAAGTTCATGTCGTTTCCCCCGGCTACCTATAGATTGCTTTTTCTTAATGGAATCAGATTTGTCTATAACAAAGATATTGTGTAGCTATTGTCTCTTGAAATACTCAATGAATTCAGCCTCTTTAGTGTAATTCTTCAATTTAACAATTAAATTGAAAATAAAGTAGGGATAACTTCTGTGTAAATTCTTTTTTTCCTACATCAAAGCCCCTTTGTGATTTTGATGATAGATATTTTTCTCTCTGCTCCCTGTGATGAGAGAGCAGAAGAGAATGGCAAAGGTGGAGCTATTAGGGAGCAGGAATTGCCTACACTCCTTTCCCACTTAGCCACATTGTGATGACAGAATACGGAAGGCAGGGTTTCTTCATCTGAGAACCACTGGAATCTTGACCTGGGTAATTATGGTGGGGAGTTGTCCCACTCATTGTAGGATATTTTGCAGCATATTGGGCCTCTACCCACTAGATGCCACTGTCTCCCTAGCCCAGTTGTTATAGTCAGAAATATCTCCAAACACTTAGAAATGTCCCTAGAGGACACAGTCACACCAAATTAAAAACCACTGATTTAAGGCATTTAGCACAGTACCTGCTATATAGTAAGGACTCAGCAGATAAGAGGTATTAATTTTATTATTGCCACATTGAATCCTTGCAAATCTAGAGTTGGGACTATTATTTGTTCTCTTTTCTATATAATGCTACTGGCTCTCCATTGAAAGTCAGTGTTTTTTGTCACTATATGGTCGGTAGACTGGATAGGGTGCATGTAGACTGCTCATTGACAGTGAGATCCTGTCTGATTTTGTTCATCAACCTAAAACAGCCATGATTGAGAAGGAAGAAGATTGTATCTAATGGTCACGTAGTGCAGACCAGATTGATCATTGCAGGTGATCACAGTGATATATCTGCCTTTGAAAAAATTGCTCTCCCAATAAATAGCCTTTTCTCAAAAGTCCTGTCTATTGATCCATCTCTTGGAAAGTTTTAGTATTTACTGAAAATTACAATTTAACTGGAAAGCATTCCCATAAATAATAGTAATTAGGAAAATTAAAGTTAAGGTATCTATTTATATTTTTTATTTAAAGTCAGAAGAAAATTTTATTTTTGTAACTAATCAATACTTGGAAAAGGAAATTAAGTTAATTTATGAAAGAAAGAACATTCTGCTATATGGTTAATTTTCTTATTGAAATCCTCTAGAAATGTCATTAGCTATTATATACCTATATTTTTTCAATTTTTATTTAAAACTATAAGATCAAAATGTTCCTTGACTATATTAAAAGCCTTCATTAATAAGGTTTCTCAGAGAACCCTCTGTTCAGTGGTTGGAAATTGTAATAATGGAAATTAACTTATGAGAGATTTTCCAGAAATTCATAGGCAAGACTTTTTCTATTTTCCTTCATGTTTTTCAGGTATTAATTTGATGGAGAAAATAAAGATTGTATGTATATTTTATACTGTGGTGTTCTGTAAGTGTTATAGTGTATAGAAATTTTATCTTAGCTAGTCCATGAAATTAATTCTAAAAAAAAAAATCTCTGTTAGTCTTTTTGGCATAAAGTAAATTACTTTAATGGAGTTTTTCTATTGTATTTCTTCTTAGTATATGTTTGATAGACCATACAGTAGAACATTGGAAACTGAAGCAGATAAAATTGGACTACAGCTTGCTGCGAAGGTAAAATGATTAGTCACTGAAAATACAGTGTCCTTCCTATAGAAAATGATAAATATGTTGTCTTAATGTTTGGCATGGGCAGAGAATGAGAGCTGAACTGTATTGTGTGCACATTGCTACAACAAAATACCAGGGGCAACTACTAACTTATAAACTAGAAAAGGTTTATTTAACTCAGCTTTGGAGGTTGAAAGGCATCAGCTCAGTTCCAGTGCAAGCAGAAGATGGTGGCACAGTATGGGAAGGGCACATGTAGAAGCAAAATGGTCACATCGGGGACTGGAGCAGAGAGAGGGGACAGGCAGGGCCCCCACAATCTGTGTCAAGGGCACATTCCAGTGACCTAAGTATCTCCCACTAATGCCCACCTGTGCAAGGTTCTACCACATCCCAGTAGCACTGCCTTGAGCCCTTCATCCTAATGAACCCGTGGGCATCACGCAGACCCCATCCAACCATTGTACCCTTTATACAGTTTTCTTAACTCTATAAAAGTTGAAGATTATGGCCCTTGAATGAATACATAGCTAAAGATACTCATGTAACTCCCTTCTATATTTGAAGCTGTATTATGCCTTTGACAGAATATATGCAATTATAGTGCTATAATTATAAGAGTGTATACAAAAGTCTTAATCTTTTATTGGAAAGGAGTTTTTTACATGTATATATTTTTTGGTTATGTAATGTCCCAAATCCTTTGTAAAACTTGTGCCCTCTGGAAAGTTAATGCTGTCTTTATATTACTTCTCTCCCTTGATTTTTAATCTAAGGAAGCTTTTTGAGTGAATAAGATGACATGTAGCTGCTTTTCCCCACCTGGAGAAAGGTGAATCCTACTGTAGTTATGATCATGGCTGAACAGATTTAAGTTTCTACTACTTATTTAAATGGTAGAAGAACAATTAGGTATTTTTATTATTACATCTGACTCCCCCCCCCCCAACTCTAGGCCTTTACTTTTATTTAAATTGGCTTTGTTCCTTTCTGATGAACAGGACACTTCAGACTTGGCTGCTATTTTAATCACCTGTGATAACTGGGTTATTAATAGAATTATCATTAGAAGTAAAACTACATTTAAAAAAGTATAAACAATGCTGTTTAACATATTAAATGCAAGTCTTATATGAGTCTTTCTTTAATTTCCAGTAGTTATTATTAGAACTTATTCTTTTAACCTCTCTTTATGAGTTATTGATTTAATTTCATAAATCTTGATTTAACTCATTGGCAAACCAAAAATGGCTTTTTGAATGTTAAATGAGTAGGATTAAGTGAATTATCAGACTGCATATATTCAGTGGTTCCCAAATAAAGGCCACAGGTTTGCTGCATCAAGAATTTCCTAATTCTGCATCTACCAAATTTCCCTTATATGTTAAGCACATTCTATGTTTTGGTTAAGAAACTTTCATCTTGATACATTGTCCTTTACTTCTAAGAAACTTTATTGTTTTGTTATCTCTTTTATATATCATATGAAAAAAAGGACACAAATTTTTTTCCCATATGGGTAGCAATAGACTCAGAACCATTTTTTTCTACCACATTGGCTTATTTACTGTCTTTCATCCAATACCACATCATCTCTGTAGTTTTGTGGTAAGTGTTGGTATGTAATAGCTTCTGTCATTCAGTGTTGTTCTGTAGCACTGATCTGGCTATTTTTGAATTTTTACATTTTCATATAAAGTTTAGTTGCAGCTTATTAAATTACACACCCATACAAAAGCATGCCTGGGATTTTGATTAGAATTGCATTGAATTTGTACATCAGTTTGGGGACAGGACAGTTGACTAGTATCTATCATACAGAGTTTTCCAATCCATAGACATGGTATATTTGTCCATTTATTTAGATATTCTTTACTGTCAATACTATTTTGAAATGTTTTTGTATATAGGAGTTCTGTATATTTTGTAGATTTATTGTAAGTTTTTGATATTTTTGATTTTGTGATAGTATCATCATTATTATTATTTTTTGGTACCAGGGATCAAACTTGGGTCCTTGCACTTGCACAGCAGGCAGCAAAACCACTGAGCTAAATCCCTGGCCCGTGATAGTATCATTATAAAAATAAATTGCTTATGTTTAGAAATATAATGATTTATATGTCTGACTTTGTATCTAGCAACCTTTATTTCTCCTTTTCCAGTGTATACTCTTTTCCATCTTATTTTACTATCTAGCAACTTCAGTCCAAAGTTAATGGTGGACAGTTTTGTTCCTGATTTTAGAATAAAGAAAAATTAGGTATTTTACTATCTATTATGATGTTTATTGTAAATTTTGTAATAGATGGTTTTTAATCATGTGAGTTTCCCTTCTATTTCTAATATTTTAAGAGATTTAAAACATGAAAAAGTGATGAATTTTATCAAGAACATTTTCTGCATTTTGAAATAATTATGTGATTTTTCTCCTTTAATCTGATGATGTGACAAATTATATGACACTCCTGTAATCCCAGCACTTGGGAGGCTGAAGAGGCTGAGGCAGGAGGATCACTATGAGTTCAAGGCCAGCCTGAAATACATAGTGAGAACCTGTCTCAAAAAAACAAAAAAGTCAAACTTTTGCTCTTGGAAATCTAATTTTGTCAATTATATATTGTCCTTTAATATATTACTAGAATTGGTTTGCTAATATTTTGATTAGAATGTTTGTATTTATGTATATGGGACATAATGGCCCAGAATTTTATTTTCTAGTAGTGTCCTGTCAGGTTTTGGTATCAAGGTTATACCAGCTTCATAAAATGAGTTGGGAAATGTGGTTCATTTTTCTCTTCTCTGCAAGAATTTGTGCAGGAGTAGTGTTATTTATTTTTCAGATGTTTGGAGAATTCATGGCTAAAGCCATCTGGGCCTACTCTTTTTGAGATTGTCTTTAGCTATGGATGTAGCCTCATCAATAAATACAACAAATCCATTCAGATTTTTCTTTTTGTGTCAGTTTTTGCAGTCTTGATTTACTAAGAATTTGTTTTTAAATTTTATGTGTTTTTAATTCTAGGGGATACCAGTATTTTATATATTACATTTTAAATGTTCTCCTGGTTTCCAGAATTGGTGATCTGTGCCTTTTTTTGCTAGATTTTAGCTCTTTTTAAAATCATTTAAAAAACCATCTTTTGGCTTTTCATATTCTCTATTATGTGTGTTTCCTGTTTTATTAGTTACTTTGCTTATCTTTATTTTCTCTGTGCCGGCTTCCTTTGAGTTTCACGTTATTCTTTTCCTTTGCTTCTTAAGAAGGACACCTATATGATTGATTTTTAATCTCTTTTGCTTTCTAGTACAGATACTCAACTTACAGAGAGGTTGTTTTCCTATAAATTTGTCATAAGTTGAAAGTGCATTTATGCTGTGGTTTGAAGTGCCCTCCACAGGCCCGTGTTTTAAAAGGGTGTGGTTCCCAGTCTGTGATACCATTGGGAGTTGGCAGAACATTTAAGAGGTGAGGCCTACTGAGAGGAAGTTAGGTCATTCAAGGCTTTCATAGGACATAATGTCCTTTGAAGGGGTTACTGGAGCTTTCACTTCTTCCTCTTGTTTTTCCACTACTTGGCCATCTGATGAATAGACCTCCTTTGCTACATGTTTCTGCCATAATGTATTATGCTACCACAGGCCCAAAGCAACACGGACAAGCAACTATGGACTGAAACCTCTCAGAATAAACCGTGTCTCTTTTTAAGTTGTCTCAGATGTTTTGTCACAGTGATAGAAAGCAGATTAACACAGTTTAATACACATAACTTACTAAGCATCATAGCTTAGCCACACACTACATGGCAGAGTATCAGTGGTTTACCCTTATGATCACATGGCTGTTAGCTAGCCCAGGAAAAGCTCAAAACTCAAAATTTGAAATATAGTTTCTCTTGAATGCCTATCACTTTCTTATTATTGTGAAGTTGAAAAACTAAGCTGAACCATGGTAAGTTGAGGACTGTATGTATATATATTTAAGGCTGTACTTTTTCCACTAAGAGTGTTGATACTTGTTGTGTTATAGGTCTTGATATGTTTTTTTCTTTACTTTAAAATGCATTGTTTTCATTATGATTTCTTCTTTTACTTATGAGTTATTTTACTCATGAGGTATTTTCTTAGTTTTTGAACATTTCATGATTTTATGGATACCTTGTTGTATTAGTCACTTTCCCATTGCTGGGATAAAATATACTCCACACCTGCAGTTTACAGGAGGAGTTTATTTTGGCACATCATTTAAGTGGGTTCATTCAGGTATAAACCATAACACCTTGCTTTTTACTCCTAGCTTAATTATACTCTAATTGGAGAATATACTGAATGGTTAGAGTCATTGGAAAATTATTGGGTCTTACTTTATGAGTCAGCATGTGATCAGGATTGTTAAAATGGTATGTACTTGGGAGTAGAGCCTGCTATTGTGGATGCAGTGTTCTACAGACATCAATTTTGTCAAGGTTGTTAATTTTGTTGTTTCGGGTCTTCGATATCCTTGCTGAAATTTTTTCTTCCTTTTTTTTTCAGTTACCAAGAGAGGTTTGTTAAGTGTTTCATTAAGGTTGTAGATTTTTTCTCCTTTTAGTTTTATCAACATTTGCTTTGTATATCTTATGATTTTACCATACGTATCTGGGATTGTTAGAGCTTCCTGGTGGATTGACCTTTTTAACAACATAAACTTCCTTTTGTCTCAAACAATGCTTCTTGCCTAATGCCCACCTTTTTCTTTATTAATATTGTTACCTCAGCTTTCATTTTATTAGTGCTGGAATGTATATCTTTCATTCTCTTGTTTTCATACTTTCTGTGGTGTGTGTGTGTGTGTGTGTGTGTGTGTGTGCATGCGTGTGTGTGTGTTTGTGGTGCAGTGCTATGGGTCAAACCCAGGGCCTTGTGTATACTAGGCAAGCACTCTACCACTGAACTACATCCCTAGCCCTAAGCTTTCTGTGACCTTATGTGTGTATATCTCATACATAGAACATTCTTGTTCT